TCTTTTTTTTTTTTTTTGAGACGGAGTTTCGCTCTTGTTACCCAGGCTGGAGTGCAATGGCGCAATCTCGGCTCACCGCAACCTCCGCCTCCTGGGTTCAGGCAATTCTACTGCCTCAGCCTCCTGAGTTGCTGGGATTACAGGCACGCGCCACCATGCCCAGCTAATTTGTTGTATTTTTAGTAGAGACGGGGTTTCACCATGTTGACCAGGATGGTCTCGATCTCTTGACCTCGTGATCCACCCGCCTCGGCCTCCCACAGTGCTGGGATTACAGGCTTGAGCCACCGCACCCGGCAAGACCTTGTCTCTCAAACAAAACACTCTTAAAGCCCCATGAGATCACATTATTCCCTGTCTATACTGGGTCAAATTGGGTGCCCACCCCACCCTCAAAAAATGCTTAAGTCCCAACTCCCTGTGCTTGTAAACTGACCTTATAGGGTCTTTGCAGATGTAATCAAGTTGAGGCCACTAGAGTGGGCCCTATCTTAATTTTTAATTTCCATAGGTTATTGGGGAACAGGTGGTGTTTTGTTACATGAGTAAGTTCATTAGTGGTGATTGGTGAGATTTATGGTGCACCTATCACCGGAGCAGTGTACACTGCACACAATTTATAGTCTTTTATCCCTCATCCCCCTCCCAGTCTTTCCCCCGGAGTCCCCAAAATCCATTGTACCACTCCCATGCCTTTGCAGCCTCATAGCTCAGCTCCCACTTAGAGTACTAGTCTCCAGTCTCATCCAGGTGGCTGTGAATGCCATTAATTGATTCCTTTTATGGCTGAGTAGTATTCCATCATATATATACAGGTATTGATCGACTTACCACCTATGCAACTTACGACCATTCGACTTTACGACCACAATCGCTAGCCACAACTGCTCCGCGTCTGGCAGCGCAAACGTTGCCCAGCTGGGCGTACGACAGTGCAGACCAGCTTCCAGCAGCACTACCATCTCCGCATGCACCATTTCAACTGTACACATAGCCTACTCAACTTACGACCAAATCGTGTTATGACCGGTCCACAGTCCCGACCGTGGTCGTAAGTCGAGCACTAGCTGTATATACACCATAGTTTCTGTATCTACTCTATTGATGGGCATTTGCGCTGGTTGAGTGGGCCCTATTTTAATATGACTGGTGTCCTTGTAAGAAAAGGAGAGGAGGCCAGGCGTGGTGGCTCACACCTGTAATCCCAGCACTTTGGGAGGCCATGGTGGGCGGATCACCTGAGGCTGGGAGTTTGAGACCAGCCTGACCAAGATGGAGAAACTCCGTCTCTACTAAAAATACAAAAAATTTGCCAGGTATGATAGCACATGCCTGTAACTCCAGCTACTCAGGAGGCTGAGGCAGGAGGATCACTTGAACCCAAGAGGTGAAGGTGGCAGGGAGCCGAGATTGCGCAATTGAACTCCAGCCTGGGCAATAAGAACGCCATCTCGAAAAAAAAAAAAAAGACACGTGCACAACAGCTGTGTGAAGACAGAGCAGAGATTGATCTTCTGTTGCTGCAAGCCAGGGAATGCCTGGGGCTGTGGAGGCAGCGGAGGGAGCTTGGTCCTGCCGGCACCGTCATTTTGGACATCTAGCCTTCGGAACTGCGAGAAAACACATTTTTGTCATTTTAAACCTCCCAGTTTGGGATACTTTGTTACAGCAGCTGCAGGAACAAGTCAAGGCACCTCCCATGATGGTCATCATACATGTCACTTTGCCTAGGCCATGGTGCCCCGGGGTTTAGACAAATGCCAGTCTAGATGTTTCTGGGAAGGCATTTTTTAGATGTGATTTGCTGGAAAATGCGTAGCCTTTGAGTAGAGGAGGTGATCTTCCACAGTGTGGGTGGGCTTCATCCAGTCAGTTGAAGGCCTGAAGAGAAAAGAGTGAAGTTCCCGGAGGAAAAGGGAGTTTTGGACTGCCTTCCCATGTAAACTGCAGCACATGGTCTCCCTGGGTCTCCAGCCTGCTGGCAGATTTTCGACTGACAGCCCCCAGAATCGCATGAGCCAATTTCTTAATCCCTCTTCCCTCTCTCCCTCTCCTTTCCTCCTCCTCCTCTCTCCTCCCCGCCTCCCCCTTTGCCTCTCCCTTCTCTCTCTCCATCCCTGCTCCACATATATTGCCTGTGGGCTCTGTCTCCCTGAGAACCCTAACTAGCACACTGCTCCCCGATTCAGAACCCTCCATATTTCCCATGGAGTGGAGCCTGGCCTTTCCCTGGGGCTTCTCCCCGCTGGCCTGCCCACCTTCTCTCCTATTAGCACCCTGCACTCGAGGCAGGCCATCGGTAGCTCAGCACTGCACCGTGAAGTCAGGTGCATGACCGGCAGTGGGGCTGCCCCAGGGCTCGGAGGCCTTTTTCGTGCATACCTGAAGTGTGGGAGCAGCAGAGGCCGACAGCCTGGACTCCCCAGGACAACAGTGCTCATCCCACCAATGTCACTGTAATGGGAGTCCAGGTGGGGCCAAAGCTCAGACTCACGGTCCTGTGCGTGCTGGGGACCAAGATGCAGTCGGGGCCTCCCCTTCAGGGATCCCCCTCCACACCCCCAGTTGGGCCAGCCTGAGCCAAGAGGAGCAGTTGAAAGCCCTGGAGGCTCCCTGGCCTGTTGGGTAATGGAAGTGGATGTGGAGTGGCCTGCCACGCAGACTCAGCTGCCAGAAGCCCTGGGCACATGGAAATTCAGCCACACAAATGACTCCACCAGGAAACTCCAAAAGACTAAGAAGCACAAGTCAAACTCCACCACAGGCAGTGACTTGGGACTGGCATGGCCTCTCCTGCCCTCTTCCCCCCAGTTCTCTCCCACACCTGTCCCCCTGCAGATGTGACTCCTTAAGGACAGTCGCAGTGATTGGTGGGAGTGGCAGGACCCTCCCACCGTCACCCATCAGGGTTTGGGGCTGGGACATGAGTGGCCAGTGCAGCCATCACTCTCCCAAGCATGAGCCACCTAGGGATGGGGGAGGCCACAGGCTCATTCAAGGCACTTGGGTCTTTTCCTCACCTGTCAGTGCTGCGGCTACAGGGCCTGACCAAAAGGTTGCTCCCCAGTTACCACCCCCCATGGGTCCTGGGCAGTGGGGACTGGGGCTTTTGTGGTGCACCCTGCAGGTCTTCCTCCTGTGAGCCTGGAGAGGAGCAAGCAAGAGACCCTTCTCCTTGGACACACTGGTGCAGCCCCTCCTCAGCTTTGCCCCAGGCCTGATGACTAAGAAACTGGCCGCACACACTCACCAGCCTTTGCCTCTCCTCAATCAGGAAGCTTTTCAGCCAAACGCTGAGAGCTTCAGCCAATGAGGAGTTCACACTGTGGAACACACTTGGCAGTGCCCATAACTCACGCCTTGTTCTCACCGATGCTCTTATTGTAGTGCATGTGTTCCAGCCACTCCACGCATGTCATCTGTCCAGAAAGAGAAAGTGCTTGTTTATTTCTTACCGTGCAGGGGGATGGAGCTCCCTTACAGACGGTGAACGTTATATTGAGAGGTAACTCAAAGTGGGGTGTGCGTGGTTGGCCTTGGATTCTGTCACAGGGGTGGAGATGGGGAGGCAGGGGAGGTGCATGGCAGCATTGGCAGCGTTGGATGGAAGAGAAGGTGGGTTGTGGCTGCAGTGGTTCTGTGAGGCCACTGATGTTATCTAGATTGTACGTTTACTTAGGGGCTTGAGTGGGGGCTGGAGGTGGTTATAATGAGGCCAAAACCCCTTCCCACCCATCAGTCCCCCCAGGCCACTGGTACCACTGACTCCTGGTGGCAAACCTTCGTCATCCTAGTAAGCCCTCAGCTGCCCTTCCCTAGATACACATGGAGCTGTCCAGGGTCCTGACATGCAGCCTACTTGGGGACGTGCAGACCTCTGCCCCAGGATACTAAGGTTCCTCCTGGCTTTCACTTACCCAGAGCTGGCAGTGGTCTTTGCTTCAGCCTTTGTCTGAGTGGTGCATGGAAGAGCAGCTTTCTCCATGGAAAAAGTGGGGACCCTCAGCTCATGGCAAGGGAGTGATGTCTTTGTATTTCCTTCATTATGTTTCTGTCTTTATTAGAAAGTGAACTTGTGGCCAGGTATGGTGGCTCATGCCTGTAATTCCAGCGCTTTGGGAGGCTAAGGAAGGAGGACGGCTTGAGGCCAGGCATTTGAGACCAGCCTGGGCAACACAGCAAGACCCCATTTCTATTTATAAAATAAATGTAAAGCATTTATTATTTTTTGAGACAGAGTCTCTATTGCTCAGACTGGACTGCAGTGGTGTGGTCTCAGCTCATTGCAACCTCTGCCTCCTGGGTCCAAGTAATTTTCATGTCTCAGCTTACCGAGTAGCTGGGATCACAGGCATGCACCACCACATGTAGCTAAATTTCTTTTGTATTTTCAGTAGAGATGGAGTTTCGTTATGGTGGCCAGGCTGATCTCAAACTCCTTCACTCAAGTGATCAGCCCATCTCAGCTTCCCAGAGTGCTGGGATTACAGGCTGAGCCACCGTACCTGGTGATAAACTTTAAAAAAATGTTAAAGTGAGCTTATGGGGATAGGGCTAATCTTTGCCCGATAAGCTGCCATGAGTTTAAGGGTTGGGAACAGTTTATGGCAAATTCAGGCTCTACTTAAGAGGTTACTATTCTCTCATTGTCCACAAGACAATTTTTCCTTTCAAAGGAGGAAGTTGCAGGCAGGTGTGCTTTACAGGCGCATGCATGTAAACAGGAAGTCAGGAGACTTGCCCAGCCCTAGGCTTTGTCTGGCAGAAACTTCTCTAGGTCACGCCCAGGGCTCTAGCTCAGCCAGCGTTAGAGTGGGACAGTTAGGCTCAGAGTCCAGAAGTCCAGGAGAGTGTCCTGCATCCAGTCTGCACAGGTAAAATAGAACAGGACCACAGCCCACCGCCCTCCGAGGCTGCGGGGACAGTGCCAGTGGGAGGTCACAGCCTTAGGGACTGCAGCCTCAACAGGAACATGGTTTCTATCTCCCCCCACCCGGCAGGATCCCTTTTGGAAGTGGCTCCTCAGCCCCCCTCTTGGCCAAATCTGGTATGACTCATTTGCTCCAGAAAAGGAATATATAAGCACCGTCACACCTTGACAAGATGACAGGAGTGACAAGCAGAATGATTTTCTGCATCTGAGACTCTGAGGAGGAGAGGTGGTTTAGCAGAGCCAGCTGCCATCAGCAGAAGAAAATAACTAAGGAGATCTGGCAGAATGGAGAAAAACCGAGTGGTGTGGCGGGTCCCTTCTGGTGAAGGGATCTGTCATCATCGCCTGCGGAGGAGAGAGGAGCGCTGGAGGCTCATGCTGGGACCGCCGCAGTAAAGATGGGATGGGGAGGAGGAGGGGGGGTGGCTGGCGAGGAAGGAAATTGACTCTGGGGATGGCTGGGCAGGGTGGCAATAAGCAGCTTGATTATAAAGACGCCACTCACAGGCCAAGCACCTGCTGCTTATAGCCCGTACCCTGAGGGGTGCAGCCAGGTCTACTTGGAGCTTCCCCTCAGCCTCCAAGGAAAAGTCTAGAATGCCTATTTCAAAGATCCCCCACATGCGCAGGAAGATAGGGATGCTCTGCCCTTTTTCCAGGGGAGAGCATACCCTTGTATCCAGCCCAAAGGGACAAGCAGAGGAAAGATGAACTGTGCCCCCACTTCTGCCTGAATTTCTGCCTCTTGGGACTTGAGGAAGGTTCTGGCAAGCTCAGGGAATTCAGGCTGTCCAGTCCGGGGCTGGCCTTGCATCCTCTTCCTGGCTTGCTAATGAATGAAGGAGATGTGTAGGCACAGCCTCGGAGGGTCTGGGGCATGGCACTGCCCGAGTCTGTACCACTGGATCCCATGGAGAAATCCACAGAATCTCTGGCTCAGGGAAGACCTGGATGGCCCTTCACCAGCAGGGCTCCTGGGACTGGACCTCTGCCCCGGCCATGGAGACAGCCAGGAAAGTGCTGGACACTGGAAGCCCCCCCCCGCCACACACAGGCAGTAGCCAGGACTTGCTCAGGTGTGGTCAGGCACAGTGCCCCAGCGTGTCAGTCGGAAGGTCCAGCTCTCTGCTTAAGGGATAGCTTGTTCTGATGGTGACCAGGGCTTTTGGCAAAGCCTCAGGACAAAAATATCCACCCACATGGCACCAGAACAGATAGAGCCCTTGATGCCTCAGTGGCCAGCCAGGGACTGGGGAAGGCGGCTCCAGCTTCTAAACAGATTCCCTCCAAAGGGAATCTTGTCCTCCCAGGACCTTCCCCCAAAACAGACCAAACAGGGTATGGACACAGATTCTTCTGTTCTGGCCAAAGGTTGGCCTCACCAGAGATTGTTTCTTGGGTGAGCCTAGCCCAGGCACAGGCCTCCTTGGTGGGCAGAGGGGATGTTCTAGAGCATGGCCAGTGACACACTGGTCTTTGTCTTTCTGAGGTCATCAGTAAGTGAACTCTGGGCAATCTACGTGGGCCCTGCTTAGGGCTTTGGAGGAGGACAGGGTGGGCAAGATATGGTCAACTCGCCCCAGAACTCCAGAGCCAGCCAAGAAGGCCCCAATCACAAAGCAAATGCCCAGGTGTGTGTCATTCCTAGGCCTGGTGTGTGCAAAGGTGTGGGTATGAATATGTCATAGTCCAAGCACAGAACTCCATAGTAGCCACAACTGGGGCAGAGCTGATGGGGTGTGGAGAAAGGGTCACTCGAGCTTTCTGGAGTGTCCTTTCCCTGTGACTTAATATGGTGGGGTGCAGGAAGAGATGACCTGCGAGAGTCCTAGCTCCTCCACAGGGGAGGTGTGTGGGTACACGTGGGCAGGGTGCCTTTCCAGGCCTGGTAGGTCACTGCAGGAGGCAGGCATGATGCAGAGAAGAAAGCCTCAGCTGCCAGCCAGTGGGACCACGTTTGCTGCGTCCCCATTTTCTGCATGGGTAGGGGATGGAGGGGCTCCAGAACTGTGTCATGCCCTCAAGCTGCCAAGATCCCTCCACCTGGATGTCCACAGCCAGGAGCCCAAAAGCAGTTCCCTGGGAGCCCCGGGGCACATCCGCTGCTAATACTGTCCTCTCTTCTGTTTGCTTTTCAGGAATAAAGTTCAGCAGGCCACGGCAGCCCCACCCTGTAAGTTCTGAGAGTCAGATAAATCTCTGTGCACACAGCCCTGGGGAAACTGGGGAGGGCTGGGAAGAAAATTAGGGGCTCACGTTGAATCCATTCTTGGAAAGAAAAATGTGTCCAGCGTTTCCCAGGAGCATTGGGAACAAAGCCCAGGGCTCTGGACCCATGGATTTCCCTTCGTCGTTAGAGGGCTGCTTTGCACGGAGCTCATGGAGACAGTAAATCGGAGCCGGGCTGCAGGCCACCTGCTCCCCCTTCCCACTCTCCCGTCCCGGGTTCCTGGGAGGACTGCGCCATCTTGTGGCGGAAATGACACTTGCACCTCAGGGGGAGGGAGGCCTTTGGGTGCTGGGCCAGGGCTCAGCCCGGAGGGGTCTCAACAGCAGGGTCAGCCTGTCTCCCTCACCTGAGAGGGACAGGAACCCCAACCCTGGTGAGAGTCTGACCTGTTTGGGACTCAGTGTCTGGCTGTTCTCTCCACCCAGATAATCACTTCTCTTCTTGACCCAGGACCTCCCAGCAGGTGGCTCCAAGGATGGTGACTTGGAGGTACCCACAGAGAGGGTCTCTCGAGACTTGTCCAGCCGGGCCCCGAGGGGCCTCACCCTGCCGGTGCCTGACCAGCCTCAACCCCTGCTGCAGAGGGGAACCCGTCTGCGACTCCGCCAGCGCCGTCGCCGTCTGCTTATCAAGAAAATGCCAGCTGTGGTGACCATCCCGGCCAACAGCTCGGACACGCCCTTCATCAGGCCGGGACCCAGAACCCTGGACGGCCACTGGATCAGCCTGCACCGGAGCCAGCAGGAGCGCAAGCGGGTGATGCAGGAGGCTTGTGCCAAGTACCGGGCGAGCAGCAACCGCCGGGCTGTCACGCCACGCCACGTGTCCCGTATCTTCGTGGAGGACCGCCACCGCGTGCTCTACTGCGAGGTGCCCAAGGCCGGCTGCTCCAACTGGAAGCGGGTGCTCATGGTACTGGCCGGCCTGGCCTCGTCCACAGCCGACATCCAGCACAACACTGTCCACTATGGCAGCGCCCTCAAGCGCCTGGACACCTTTGACCGCCAGGGCATCTTGCATCGTCTCAGCACCTACACCAAGATGCTCTTTGTCCGTGAGCCCTTCGAAAGGCTGGTGTCTGCCTTCCGCGACAAGTTCGAACACCCCAACAGCTACTACCATCCGGTCTTTGGCAAGGCCATCTTGGCGCGGTACCGGGCCAATGCCTCTCGGGAAGCCCTGCGGACGGGCTCCGGGGTACGCTTCCCCGAGTTTGTCCAGTACCTGCTGGACGTGCACCGGCCTGTGGGTATGGACATTCACTGGGACCACGTCAGCCGGCTCTGCAGCCCCTGCCTCATCGACTACGACTTCGTGGGCAAGTTCGAGAGCATGGAGGACGATGCCAACTTCTTCCTAAGCCTCATCCACGCGCCGCAGAACCTGACCTTCCCCCGGTTCAAGGACCGGCACTCGCAGGAGGCAAGGACCACGGCCAGAATCGCGCACCACTACTTCGCCCAGCTCTCGGCCCTGCAACGGCAGCGCACCTATGACTTCTACTACATGGATTACCTGATGTTCAACTACTCCAAGCCCTTTGTAGATCTGTACTAAGGGGCAGCGCGCTGGGCAGGGCCACCCTGCCCCAGTCACTCACCTGTGCTCAGGCACCATCCTGTTCCTGGTTCCTCATCCTGGGAGCTGAGAGGTCCCCCGAGCAACAGGGCTCTGAGGAGCCATGGCTGGGGGGTACAGCAGGGCACAGGTGGGGGACACGTGCCCAGCTTTGGATGGGGGCCCCTGGCCTGGGCTTGTTTCCTCACTCCTTGGCTGAGGGAGATGCTGAGGACAAGGACAGATACCCCCAAAGCTCAGCCAGCAGTTGCAATGAGCAGGGAAGTCTGAGGCCCAGAGGATGGGGCCCCAGCGATAAGGGATGTCCTGCACTCCCTTAGCCATTGCCTTGGACCAAACCACATGGTTTGCAGCTTTTCTACGAGCCGGGGGAGGTTTCCATGGATTTAGGTTCCAAATAAAGCACATGGTTTCCAGAGCAGCGGTGTGTACTCTGTAGCGTGTGAGCACGCAGACCCCAGGCTGGGCTTTCTGGAGCTCTTTCTGCCTTCCTGGGGCAGCCTGAGCCAGGTGCCCGCAAGCCCCACTGAAGAGAAGCCCAGTTCAGGAGCAGCCTCCATCGGAGGAGAGCACAGAGGACCCAGCAACTCTCAGTCAGGGCCTGCAGGCACCTGAGGCTAGAGCCCAGTCAACGGGGTGCTCCCGTCTCAGTCCTGGCACATTCATCTTGAAAGGAGAAGATAGGCCTGTTCCCATGGGGGCTTCGTGGGGTGTTTTCTTATCAGTGCACCTTGCCAGGGCCACTGGGGACTGCCAGGGCCACTGGGGACTGCGAGAGCAGTGGCCAGCTGTCCATCAGGGCTGAGGCTGGGGCCAGCGGGGCATGGTGCATGCATCTCAGCGGGTGTGGCCCTCCCGGCAGGGAGCGAGGCTGTCCCCAGCTTTCTGTGCCTCTGGGCCAAGCAGGACTCTGGCCTGAGGCTGTCACCTGCGCACACTCACCCTGATCCCTGGCCCCACTCACCTGACAAAACTGCCCCAGGGCTGCCAGGATGCACCTGCTCTGGAAGGGAAGAGAAGCTGTAGAGGAAACGTCTCCAAAAGCATGTATATTCACACCAGAGAGGGCTCTGGAAGTGTCAGCAGCCAAAGTGGTTCTAGGAAGGTCTGAGGGGAGGTGTTTGTTGGAGTGTTGAGTGTGGGCATGAGTGCAGCTGTGTTTGGGTTTGGTTTGTGATGGGAAGGGCTGCCTGCCACTGCAGTCTCTGCCCTCTGTCAGCCTGTCTGCAGAAACCTCTGCAGGCACTCCTGGGACGTTCTGGGGGTTGTTCTGTCCGCCCTCCCAGGAGGCTGCCCTCAGTCTGTCCCAACTTGCCAGGGGAAATGCTGCTGGTTCTCCAGGTGAAGATGCCACTGGATCCCTAAGTGGAGGCCCTGCTGAGCCCCAGGTGGAGGCGCTCCTGGAATCTCCCCAGACTCACACCAGCCTGAGCTGCTCCACCTCCTTTTCTGCCACCACCTTGGACCCTGGAACAAGAACAAGGCACTGAGCCTTCCTCCTGCCTCTTTGGGATAACGTCCATCCAGGAGACGTGAGAAGCAGGGAGACCTCCCTTGGGTTCCAGCTGGAAACTGCCTGGAGCATCCAACAGAAATGACCCAGAGGGGCAGGGAAGAGGCTCCAGCCAAGGCCTGGGAAACTTGGAACCCACAGAAGCTGGGACAGCAGATGCCGAGGGGCCCAGAAAGCCAGAGTGGCTGCCTTGCACCTTGGCCAGGACTGGGGTCCATGTGAGAGGCGGCAGGGAAGTGCCCAGCTGAGGACGACCTAGAAAGACATGCCCTGGGCCCTGGCACTCACATCGCGAGACCATTTCCACATGCAGGAAGGTGTCCCTGGTCATGGGTGCATTTGGTGAAGCAAGAGGCAATACCCCATGGCATCTGCTCAGCAGGGAACACCTGGGTGCCCCCCTGAGGCAGCATTTGGGAGCTGCTTGGAGACAGGATGGCGCTGCCCCTCCCCTGTGTGCGTGTGCATGTGTGTATTGGGGGAGAAGGCGCGTTCACTTGTGTCATCTCTCAGACACCCTGGTCTGAGCTGGACAGACATGCACACACAACACATCCATCCGTGGGGGACTTTTGTTGCAGGTGGTGATGACAGAAGACAGGTAGGTGCAGGCAGTGACCATGATCACCATTTGATGGCCCTGAGAGTGACCTCCAACTAAAGGCCAGAGGCCCAGCCAGGAGACGACCCCAGCTCCAACCCCCAACCCCAGCCCCAAACTTCACAGGGCTCAGGAAGAGCAGACTCAGCGCCGTGGTAGGGAAGAGTGTGTGTGTGTGTGT